AAACCTTTGCATTTTTATTAAGAAATCTTAAAAAACCTATAAAAATTGTTATTATGTGACACAAAATTAAAATTTCTGAAAATTATCGCTGTAATCAAGCGATAATTGTCTTGTAGGCATATATAAGAGGGTAATTATCAATTTAATGTCATACTTTTTGATAAATTATACCTAAATAATTATAAATTATTATACATGTTTGATAAACCTTTTTTTTAATTTCACTAAAAGTTATAGAATAATTAACTTTGAATTTCTCCTCATTTAAATATTATTTGTTAGTTATACTTTAATTTAAAATTGAATTAAGTGTATATTTTGTTAAATATATTTATTAAAAAAACAAAAAGGTGTTTTTTCCACTTAATTAGTGGAAAATAACCGAAAATTGTCGAAATTTTATATTTTTTGATTTTTTATGGACAATATTACGTATATAATCCTTTTAAAATCAAAAAAATATAAAATTTAAACAATTTTCGGTTATATTTCCTTGTTTTAAATAAAAATTCAAATAGCCAAACATTCAAATTTCCCGCCGAAAAAAACAACTCGGTTTTCCAAGCCTGCTAGATTTAAAAATCAACCAATGCTTGTTGCCACTTTTGACTACAGCGCTTTTAATTCTCTTATGTTCTGTGGATACATGGCAACACAGCTTAAAAATGACTGGCATGGAAATGCTATTGACATAAGAAAAATAGATACTTAACAACATTTACTTTAATCTTATTTACATTACGTTCAATTAGAAAGTTATATGGTAAAATAAAATATTCTTTATAATTGTATGGTTTTTAATAATCTATCGTTATGTCCTAATAACTTTAATTAATTGTAGTAGCCAGAAAGTATATTTTCTGGAATAACACTTGACGAACATCACTTGTTCTGTGCACTTCATGTCAGATTTCCTAAATATAAATTTAAACTTTATTTATTTATTTGCATTTTAAGAATATACATTTTTAAATAATAAATATACATTTGGTTAACAATAAATACTTCTGCCATTAAATGGAGGCATTATTAGTAACATACTAATAATTATTTCTTTAAATATCCCACGTTTTGTTCTTGTGGCAACAGTGTTGCACAGAACATAAGAGAATTAAAAGCGCCGTAGTCAAAAGTGGCAACAAGCATTGGTTGATTTTTAAATCTAGCAGCCTTGGAAAACCGAGTTGTTTTTTTCGGCGGGAAATTTGAATGATTGGCTATTTGAATTTTTATTTAAAACAAGGAAATATAACCGAAAATTGTTTAAATTTTATATTTTTTTGATTTTAAAAGGATTATATACGTAATATTGTCCATTAAAAATCAAAAAATGTAAAATTTCGACAATTTTCGGTTATTTTCCACTAATTAAGTGGAAAAACACACATTTTTGTTTTTTTTAATAAATATATTTAACAAAATATACACTTAATTCAATTTTAAATTAAAGTATAACTAACAAATAATATTTAAATGAGGAGAAATTCAAAGTTAATTATTCTATAACTTTTAGTGATATTTAAAAAAAGGTTTATCAAACATGTATAATAATTTATAATTATTTAGGTATAATTTATCAAAAAGTATGACATTAAATTGATAATTACCCTCTTATATATGCCTACAAGACAATTATCACTTGATTACAGCGATAATGTTCAGAAATTTTAATTTTGTGTCACATAATAACAATTTTTATAGGTTTTTTAAGATTTCTTAATAAAAATGCAAAGGTTTATAACCAAATTAACTCTAAAACATATTACAAACCATCAAAATATTCTTGATAAACAATAGTTCAATACTTATTGGTCCTTATTAGAAAACAACCTTTTAAAACAGTTCGAGTATATTATATAATTAAAATTATTTTAACTTTGAATATGTAATTCATAAAAATAAATAATTTTGTAATACATACTGACTTATTGTATACCTATAGGTATTTCCAAATTTCTTTATTGGAATAAACCAAAAGGCTTATGCCTAAAATGTTGAATGCCATAATTAGACTTATTACAAACCATACTCTTATAATTTTTAGGAATTATAATTTGTTTTTAAAATAAGCACAATACTGTAGTTTTGTAAAATATAGAATTTTTGGCAAAAAGGAATTCCTACTTATCCAAAAATTAAATTACATTCTTTGGAATATTTAATTTTTAGTAAAATTGGTTTAATTAAAATTAATAATCAATAGAACCACTTAAATCTCAATGTTAAAAATATTGTTATTATGTATTTGGCAAAATTAAAATCTTTATGTATGATTTAACTTTCTGGTCAATATTAAGTATTAATTGTCTTTTTTCTTGTTCATGATTCATGGATTGAACCTGCGTCTTTTTCTTGATTCAATGAAGAATATTCAACTGCAATTAATATTTTCTATGTTCTTTTGCAAAGAAGTTTGATAAATTCAAGTCCTGTCTGCTTCTTCCATTAACACAAACCCAAACCTGAAATCAATACCAATTTTAAAATCAATTTAAATTGTAAAACAATTAATATTACCTAATAATTTTTAAAATAAAATAAAAATAATGTATCAATATTTATGCTACTTATTTATGCTAAATGTAATTGTTTTACCAGCATAAGAATAATTGAATGGTTTATTGTAAAAACAAGCTAAGTAACTAACTAAATATAATTTTGTTTATTTTTTAATTTAAAAATCTTATAAAAACTAATAATGGTTAACTTGTGCTGTTTTAACATGAAAATATCCTTTTTTAATATCCTAATAAAAATCCTAAATAAAATATTTCTGCCTCAAAATAATAATTTAAAGCAGAAGTGTATGTAATATAAAAATGTCAGATTGCTTGTTTTAACAATAAACAATTTAATTATATTTGGAGTAAATTCTAAAAGTGTACTTTCTTTAATGGTCAGGCTTTTACTTTTTTTTATATTTGGATTGTAACTATGGATGTGTGAATATTGAATTCAAGAATTATTTGAATAGTTTGAATGTTTCAAATTTTTAAATGGTTCAATTAGAAAGTTAAAATTTTTCAATAGTAATTGAAGAAATGGAACATTTAAATTGTAATTTAAAATTTATTTTAAAATAAAAAGAATGTTATTTACTTGTCATTAACCCTTAATTAACTTATTTGAATAGATTATGATTGTAATTATTGAACTATTCAAATAATTCAAACTATTTACTAGTTTAAATATTTAATTTTAAGTTTGAATTAAATATTACTACTTAATTTATTTGGTAAAAATATTCACACACCACCAATTGTAACTAAAAATGTATTCTAAATAAAAAAAATATATCTACCTATTATTAAAAAAATTTGGTCAAATATTTCTGTTTGGGATTGACGAGTAAAGCTTTCATTCTTTTTCTTCATGCAGGATAAATCTTGTCTAATTGTTCCATTATTGCAGAAGCTAAAATTAATTATATTAAATTAAAATCAATTTATATTGTAGCAAAAAATAATTGAATTAAAAACTTTAAAAATAATTCTTTAAAAGGTTTGCTTATGATTCATAAGTTATGAATTGTCTAGTTATTTATGTACATTAAAAATGTCAGACTTTCAGATAGAACAAATGAAGGGGTCAATGCAAGAATTCTTGCACTTAAGTGCCTAAGTCGCATTTTCAATTAAATTTACATTTTGGCTTCATCTAAGAGTGTTTCATGTAAGGTTTCAGGTGGTATTTTCAAAGTGGCAGAAATATGTGCCCAAGTGCCTTAGTTTGCATTTACTTCAATGGGAGTTTGTATGGTTTTTAACTTATGTGAAAACTCTTGGATGAAGCCACAATAACAATTTAATTGAAAATGTGACTCAGACACTTCTTGCATTGACCCCTTCAAATAAAATAACTATAAAAATACTGTAAAAGATTATCACCCTGTAGTTAAAAATGCTATATTTATGTAAAAAAAAACATAGAAAGCACAAAACATTTGTAATATAATCAAGTTTTGAACTGTATGCTTACAAGTTTTTAAAATGACCTCTTCCAGCTGCAAACATCTTGTAGATACTGCCGAGTTCCAATTCGTGTATTTAGCTTTTACAAATCTTGGGGCTCATAAATGTTATCTTTTATAAAGCCCCAGAGAAAGAAGTCGCACACTGTGATATCGGTTGAACGTGTTGACCATACATGAAGTTCCAAATTGTTGGGCCCTTTACGTCCGATCCACCGATGAGGGGGCTGTTCGTTCAATAACCTCCGCTCCACCAAATGCCAATGTAGTGGGGCCCTGGACCCAGGTCCAGTTTTCGCGTAGCTACATCAAATAATTTTAACAAAAACATACATTTTGACAAAGATTATAGGTATATTTAATATTTTATATAACAGCAACTAGTGTCGAGAAAAAAAACGTTAAAAACTGTTTTGATTGAAAGTTTTGAATCAAAACGCTTTAAAACTATTTAAATTCTATCAAAACTTGCATTAGTTAAACAACCCATAAGCAAAGAGTAAGAGTCTTTACTCTTTGCCATAGGTTTTATTACATAAAAAGAATTTTATTAACTACATGTGTTTTCGGTAAACATAGAGAAAAAAACCGGTACGGTTTATTACACGTATTTTCTTATTTTAAACGCGGTAATGATGCTACAACTAACTCAAACTTGACTAAAAACACCTAATAAAATGTTAAAGCCGAAATTAACAAGTTTACTTACCTAAAACAAAGAAAATTTGGATTATAAAACTTCGTACACAACACTGTCGGCCATTTGTAATTTCTCAAACCGCGACCATCAACGAACAAGTTGGAAAAGACCAATCACAACAAAGTAAGAATCACGTGGTTAATAACTGGGGTTTGTCAAAAACAACTTGGGTTTCAACGCATGCTAGATTTATTTTACTGTTGCCTGTTGTCAAATTCCCCAGTGTTGTTTATCAAAACTGTCAGTCACCGGGTTTCTAGAAAAATCATTTCTGTTGTTTTTTCCGGCAAAAATAAACCAACAAAATGTCCTGCCCGTTCAACAAAGAAGTCGTCGACAAATTAAAACAATTTATTGGAATATGTCAGTCGAACAGTGACATTTTGCATTACCCAGAATTGGCATTTTTTAAGGAGTACATCGAAAATTTGGGCGGTAAAATCCCACGATCGAAAATGTCCAACCCACCTACCACTGAAACCACACCTGAATCACCTTCTGAGGAGTTGAAGGAGGAAGAATCAGAAGAATCTGATTTAGAGATTGATAGTTCGGGATGTGTCGAACCTGATGAGCTATCACCTGATCAAAACATGGGCGATGCAAGTAAAGTAGAAATATCCGAGGAAGAATCGGATAAAGCCGACGAAAAACGTAGAGAAGCAATGCAAATATTATCAGAAAACGCTGAGAAAGCAATTGGCCTATTCACAGAGGCCATTGTTATTAACCCCACAAGTGCTCTATTATTTGCTAAAAGAGGCCAAGCGTATTTAAAAGTAGACAAACCAAATGCCTGCATCAAAGACTGCTCTAGGGCTCTGGAATTAAACCCAGACTCAGCAGCTGCCTACAAATTTAGAGGTAGAGCTTATAGGTTACTTGGAGAGTGGGAGAAAGCAGCCAAAGACTTCCGACAAGCTTGCAACATTGATTTCGATGAACAAACTGATGAGTGGTTGAAGGAGGTAAATCCAAATGCCAAGAAAATCGAGCAACATCTACTGAAAATTGAACGTAAGAAGGTGGAGAAATTACTTAAGGAGAAAAAAGCTTCCAAGTCAGCTCCTCCACCCCAACAAGCACCAAAGTTTGAGGTTCCCCCCAGTTTTGAAGGAGGTGGTCAGAATGATTTCTACAAACTCATGCAAGATCCTGAGATTTTATTGGCTTTCCAGGTAAAAAAATATTCTTAGTTTTTAATTTAAAATTAAAAACAATAATGTAAGTTATGGTTGTATTAAATTATTATTTTTTAGGATCCTGAGGTTGCAGCAGCTTTTCAGGACATTTCCACAAACTTTGCAAATTTTGTAAAGTACAAGGACAACCCAAAAGTCATGAGCCTTATTAAAAAACTGTCATCAAAATTCCCAGGAGGTCCTGGTGCATTTGGCAACATGGGAGCTGGTTTTCCAGGAATGGGAGGTATGGGTGGAATGGCAGGCATGGGAGGTATGGGGGGTTCTGGAGGAGCCCCTCCTGCCGATGATAATTTGGATTGATTGTAAAATGGGGAACATACATTTTGCTAACGAAAGGCTGAGATATATCTAGTTAAAGTATATGTTTATAAACATAATGTTATAGTCATTTATTGAGAATTTTGGCATCTACCATAATTGGTTAGAAATCCACACTAAAGTCTTGTAAAAGATTATGCATTTTAATAAAATTTTGATTTTTAAATTTTTTTCTTAAATACCACAAATTATGTAAATTTTTATATCAAAATGTAAAGCTGCTCAGCATTCAACAGTTTTTCATGACGCAGCCTTAGCCAAACAAGTGGGGCTTTAAATACATACATTTGTTCTTGGATATGTAAAATAAAATTAATAATTTTGGGTCATATTTGTAATGCTAATACATTTTTTTAACATACATACATCCCATATAATTTTTGTTAATATAAATTTAAATTGTATATTCTTTACAAAACTAATCATGCTATACCATTGCTATAGCAATTAAAAATCTTCTAAAATATGTATTTTCACTATTCTGAAATACATTTGACGATTTCTGAAATGCATTCAACTATTATATTCTGAAATACAATTGGAAAATGTGTAGTTTATTTAAAGTGTTACAAGGGGATATTTTGAAAACGGTTTAAAATTTTGTTGTGAAATGTTGGTAAATTAAAACAGGTGAGGGACATATTTTTGACATCTATCTATATAATATAAGAATATTTATACCATGTTACTATTGGTTTAATTTTATTTCAATATTTTTTTCATGAATAACTTGACAGAATATTTTTTTGTAAATAGTAACTATTGTGCATTTTTACTTAAAATTTTCAATAAAATTTAGTATAGGCTCGTTTGAAATGGTGGTGCATACATTTTTAAAAAAAATCGCTAATAGAAGTTTTTAAAAATTTAGTCTTAAAAACTGATATAGAAGCTTCTATATCAGGCCTAGGACTTGTAGTAAAACAATGGTGGTTTTTAATACAAACATACAGTTTATCAAGATCTACACTTTAAAAGAAATCCGGTTAAAATATTGCGATATCGCACAATAAATACAGATTTTACAGGGGTGAGTTGCAAACAAATGGGTCACACTGTATGTAAAAAACTAGGTACCTATCTGTGCAAACAAAATTGTTAACGCAAAATTTTAATTAAATTATAAAATACTAAAAAATAATTTTAATTTATTAGTGTAGAAAATTCATTTAGAAAATATTTGAAAGTTAAAGGGGTACTTTTTGAAGAATTTCTCAGACATGACAGACGATAAATTAGTTGAAATTTAATTGTTAATATTTTTTAGTATCTTATAATCTAATCATAATTCCGACCATAAAGGAATTTCTTTAAAGTCTCCTATGTTTCCTATATTTCTAATATGGGGTAGGCCTGTGAAACTAGATACATCCATGTTTTATTGGACAAAGCACAACTACTAGGCGTATGGATTTATAGGTACGTTTTAGTGGTGATATAATTATATATATAATTTATATAATATAATGGTAATAAAATTACATAATTGTTATTAAAATGAATTTTTTTCAAATACAAGGTAAGTCTTGACTATTTGTTATGTAGACTAATAGTAGAATTATTAATATGTATTTTTAGCCTATACGTTTTTGTTACTGTTTTTATTTAAACAAAAATATTTAATTGTTTATTATTTGACGAACGCGTCCTAATATGGGTACCAAAATATTCCTAAAATGGGGTAGGTACCTCATATTAACGCCATATTAAAGTCATACGACGACAATATGACCTGCGATGCTACTTAAGTAGTACCTAATTAGGTTGTTTAAACAACCTAATTAGGTTATAATATATTTTAATTTGTTTAATTGTTTTTAAAAACCCCATTAGACAAGGTTTTATTGTGAATCTGGACTTCAAATAAAGTTTTTTATAATATATTTATAGTATATTATTATACGAGAGATAATGCAGCCTATTATTAGCTGGCCATAGACAGGCGTTATTTCGCGCGGTTTATCGTGGCGTGTTGGGATGTAGCGGTTAGTATGCACGAAAGAACGGCATGGCAAAAAAAGCGTCATGTTCCATACACTTGATAAAGTATTCAAATGATTTAGCAAGTGATTGCCTGTGGTATATCAGTTTCAAAGGAAAAATCGTATGTGAGTGGGCAAAAAGTGTCATTTATCGAGTCCTTTGAAACTGCATATGCGATCATGTACAAATTTTCAACGTGAAATTTTGCCAAGCAAAGGTAAACCGTGACGCGGAATGTGGCGTGCATAGAAAAAGGTAGCGTGTGGACACTGAAATGATGTACGCCACACTCCAGAGGAAAGCACGTCTGATATCCCTTCCCGTTAACGGGAAGTATCGCCGCGCTCAATGATAGAATTCTATCATTGAGCGCGGCGATACTCACTCACGTACATGATTTTCCATATGTTTTTGCAGATAACACGATAAATCGCGCGCAATAACGTCTGTGTATGGCCAGCTATTCACGATAAGGTTTGCGTCTCGAGTCGCCAGAATAATGCGCATAATCTCGAGTAATACTATACTTTATCTACTCCAGTACTTAAGTAGATAATTAAATGATTTTAAAAATTAAATAAATAAAATCCGACATCTGTCAAATGGTTAACCATACTTTTTACCAATTTGAAATGTTATTATAGTCGCCTTCTTTTAATTTAAAACCCGATTGGTTCAAATCACAGTGAATATTGAAATCGGCCAATCACTAATGCCTAACAACGTGAATAATGAGTTTATTATTCACGTTGTTAGGCAGGGAATTTATAAAGTTTATCAATATTCACGAAAAAAAAACAAAATTATGCTATACTGCCGTGCTTAATGAAAACGCCGTAACCAACAATTTTGCGATTTTTGTTTTACGGCATTCATCCTGCGTCTATCCCCGGTACTCAAAAAACCGTATATATATAGATACGGTTTTTTGAGTACCGGGGTTAGACGCAGGATGAATTGTTCTAGTAGAAAATGACGTAAAACAAAAATCGCAAAATTGTTGGTTACGGCGTTTTCATTAAGCACGCGTGCAGTATAGGAGTAGATAAATATGTTTTTTATATCAATAAAATTTTAAAGTTGTACACGCCTTTTATTTTTCTTTATTAAAGAAAAACATTGCTAAACTGAAAAATGAACAAAACTAAATAAAGAACATCTTTATATAAATTTTATAATATAATATAGTTTTTTAGTAGATTTAAATTTAAAAAAAGTACATTATCCCTATTAAAAATTCAAAGTTACCCCAAGAGGGTGGGTGTCAAAAATGTTTAAATATGTCCTCCCCTCTCTATTAGTTTACCAAAATTTCAAAAAAAATTTAAACCGTTTTCGAAATATCCTCTTGTAACAATTTAAAAAACTCACCTGGTATACTGCCCTGCTAAGCCAAACCCCAGTATGTACAATATTAAGTAATAAAGGCCAAAAGATCATTTTCATTGTTAAAAACAATAAAATTATCTTTTGTCCTTTAAAACCTAATATTGCAGATACGGGGGTTTAGCTTAGCATGGCAATACTTTTTCCAGAAGCATTTATATGTTTTGTAGGTTTCAGTAAAATAGCTAAAACAATTTTTGAATACATATTTTAATGGTAGGCATAGAAATAAAGTAATATTTCTATAAATTTGGGCATTAAAAGATAAAAAGGTTGAATTTTTAATGTTTTCTTAATAATTACATAAATTAAGTCATTTCATCAACTTTGTGGTGGATTTTGTTGAAAATTAATGGAATAACCACCTGTATTAGGGTCCTGATTTAGCTGGAAATTATCAGTGGACATCCCAAATGGCCTCAAAAACATATTTCCTAAATCCTTCAATTTACCTAAAGAAAAAAAAAATCAAAACAATTAATTAACAAAATGTTTATACCAACATACCAAACATTTCTGTTTTCAATTTCTCATTTCTTTCAGCTATTAAAGGAGGTAATCTTTGTTGTGCCTTAACTGATTCTATATTCCCAGGATCCAAAACTGATATGGTTTCATAATCTTTCAAACTTTCATCCAATTTATCTGTTTCTTCGTATAATTTAGCTCTTCTCATATAAGCCCTTACATATTTATCATTTAACTCTATTGCTTTTGTACAATCGTCAATAGCACTTGGAATTCTATCAACTTGAATTTTTGAAGCACCTCTGTTAGCATAAAACACAGCTCTATCCGATTCATATTTCAATGGGCATAATCGTAGAGCTTCGGTATATGTAAATACAGATTCCAAATATTTGCCAGTTTTAAACTCTTCATTACCTTGTTTTTTAAGTTCTAGTGATTGTTTGTGCCTTTCTTCTCTTTCTTCATCAGTAAGAGTAACTTCAGCATCTTTTAAAGCAACCTCATCGATATAATCATCCTCTTGTTTTGGGTCGTTCTTAGTTTTACTCTGCTCATCTTCATTGTCCGATTTATCGAAATCTTCAGGGGCGTCTCTTATAAACTCTGTAGTAGGCTCTATAACATTATCATTCTTGAGAGTGAACTGTTCCTCAACTTCTTTTGTCAACTCATTTATAACCTCTTCGTTTGACTGAATGTTATCCTTTGTTTCATCTGACATGCTTTTAGAATATCATTTACGCGAGTTGTGAACTAAATAAATTAACTAACTGACTAACTAGTCTTGTATTTGCAGTGGTTTTGTTGTACAATTTAGAATTTTAATGTAATTTAACCTTATTTTTGACACTAATGTTGGTAACGTTAAATCATAGATGGCGCCTTAAAAATACCACAAAAGTACCATTGACATTAGGAATAATAGAGAGATCAAGCAATTTAACCTAAATCATTAAGAGAAAAACCTTAGACCATATAATACTGGACAGTTTATTGTTGACCGAAGGTTTATTCGGTTATTTGATTCGTCTACACAAAAGCTTTCTAATAAAACAACTGAAATGATGATTTTGACGCACATTACTCGTCCAGTGTTTTAAACAGTTTGTTTTTTTATTCGAAATTAGAAGTTAAATATTGGGGGTTTAGTTGAAAAATTCTATGGACCAAATTTTATAAATGTCTACATTGAGTAAAACAAACTAAATTTAGTGGAGAATCTCATTGTGGTAACCTAACCATCATTTCAATTTCAATATGGCAAATAAGTATATTTGACTTATGTTGTTGTTGAAAATGAAATAACTGTGCCTTTGATAAATTATACCTATATAATATATATATATAACTGAATATATAACTGAATATATAGTATATATTCAGTTTGTCTTTTCAAAAAGGAACGCAGCAATTTATATGAAATAATAAAAATATTTTTTCTTTTTTGTCTACAATATCAATGCAAATTTAACTTGTAACTTGTAACATGTAATCTAGGATGCACTGATAAACAAATCATTTGTTGATATTCTAATACTTTTTGGCCTGCTAGATTCCCTGACTTAACTTAAGTTTTTCATGTTTTTTCTAATCATAACAGATAAATGTTCATTTAAAATAGAAAGATTAGTAAAAATTAACAAAACCTAATTTTTTAATGTAAATGTATGAAATTGCATATTTAAACGTAGTTTTTAGTTCTGATTAACTTTTCTTTATAACAATTTTCGATATTGTCAAATATAAAGGTACTTTACTCTTGCGCCAAATTCATATTTTTTGACATACCCCGTATACGACTAAAAAAAATTAATATTTGTGGGTTGCATTTTAAGTTCTACACCATGTAGAACTTTTTATAAAGAATATTTTTTTTCCTAAAATTAATAATAAAAAAGTTTTCCATATGATTCCAAGATACTGAGACATACTGTATACAAGTATAATACAATACATAATCAAATGACATTGTGTCAAATTTCGAATAAAAAAAACAAACTGTAGAAAAACGCATTTTTATAGATAAAAATATATTTAATATAGGCATATTTGTATAACAAAATATTATAATACAATAATTATTACTTAAAATAATGAATAAAAACAAACATAAAAGTTTGTTTAAGGGACAACACTTTTAAAACTTAATAATTATCTTAACTTAATTCATAAATAAAATTTCTATAAAATACATAATGCTGTAACATAAAGAATATATCAAAAGCCACTGAAAATAGTCCGAGGCCAAATTTGGTTATATCTCCAAATATAGACATCCAGTCATCTGAAAATTATAAAATTTTATATATTTTTTTGCCCTTGTCAATTCAATGCTTTAACAAAGAATGACTCTTGTTAATATAATAAATTACATTATTTAGATTGACATAATATGTAAATATCATAAAATCATAAAAATGGGTGATAAAAATATATTACCATAGTTGTAACCATTTAAAATCATCTGCAGCATACTAAGTGATCCCCCTGTAAAATCTAGGAAAATGTTTCCAATACTCCATCCCACTGTACTTTTTCTTCTATAGTTCATGTAAGCCTAAAAAACAAAATTTTCTAGATTACCTAATAAATAAATTTTTTAAAGTACATTATTTATTTACAAAATGTTCCAGAATGTAAAATTTTATAATTTAAAACTTTTGGGACTGTATATTTATATTAATTTATAACAAAATCAAAGATTACCTGTGGAATATATTTAATTAACGTTATAGTCAACTTAACATAGGAACAGTAATATAAAAAGTCTAGCCAATGAATGACATCTGTTGCGGCCAGAACAATGCAAATAAGCAAAAAAGCTCCAAATGCTCCAAGTATGCATCTTGCTGTTATTGACACCCTCTGTTCGGCTCTTTCATATAAATAACACTGGGTTATAGTTAAAATGGTGGCTAACGCCGCGTGCACAGCGAAGACTATGTCGTTTACTTGTACAGGGTTTAAACCTCGGGGATAGCGCGCAAAATATTCTTTCTAAAAAATAATTTAAATGGAAAAGTTTATTATTTCTCCATACTATGCAAACTGCTTATTACATGGAACCCCTATGTTTGATCAAAGTTTTTGGTATAAACATGTTGACAGATTTTTAGGGGTCCATACATAGCATAACAATTAAGCAAAAACTCATTTCTTGTGTTACCTGTATCTCAGGAATAAAATAAAGTCCCAAATTGAAAATTCCATACAATGTAAATCCTATGAGATTCAATGCAAGAAAATCAAAGTTTAGACCAACGACACTATAAAGAAAAACAATTTTATTATAAAATATTTTAATATAATTTTTTTTGTAGGTACCTTTTTCGTTTCCAATTGTCGTAAATCTGCGGGTAAAATGATATGGACCAGGCTACAAAATATATCCAACCAATAGCCAATGAAATATTGTCCAACCAGTCTATTTTTCTTATTGTCACTCTTAAATATACTTTATCCACACTAAAAGAAGACATAGTTTATTAAAATAAATATTGTTAAAGAGGTAAAGTAGGAATGGTAATTGGGGTGTTCTTTTTGAATGAGCATTTTTTTTTACTTCCACAGCAAATTATTGATGTATATATTAAGAAAAAACGTCATTTTACGGAAAATAAGTTAATGTAAAAAAACTTGTATAGGAAAATTAATTTTCTACAAAAAACTTTCTATGCATAAATGTAATAAAATGCATAGTTTAAAAGATACTTATAGTATATAAATATTTTTATTTATACTCGTAGTATATAAACGCCATTTTAGTTTTATAAGGGACGATCGAAGCTTGGGAGCGAGTGTTTAATAAAAACGAGTTTATAAAACGCGTTTGCAATTGCAAACTATATTTTACATCAGACGAACAGAAATAACAAATAAAAGCCAATTTTAATTCATAAATATTTAACATCACTTTTTGCAGTTTATAATAACGCTAATTTTAGCCCGTGACTAAAATGCTCTAAAGCCACAGCTCGTCAATGTAGGAGAAGTTAATAATTCATTCTGTTCCACATTCAAAATTAGAACGGTCAAGAGCGACTGTTATTTTTTTACTGCAGTCGCCCAGGTACCTACTGGAGAATCATATTTAGGTAGAGAATTTAATACTTCAAAAATAAATTACACTGTGCGACAAATTTTGACCTTACAATTTGAACTGGGATGAAATGTGGAAAAATCGAATCTATGCAACCCCCAAAACTAATCTTTAAAGGGGTTTTGCTAGTTTAGCTCGAATAATGGAGATATATAAAAGCCCCTAGAACTTAAAAAATATGAATTTTATAGAAAAATGCTCGGACACGTCGATTTTTTTTTATATGACGCAATTTTCAGTTGATTTTAAAATTTTTATTTTTTCACAGATTCACCCCCAGCCACCCCACTTTTTTTTTAAAGAAAACCGACCCTTTGTTATACATTACCTGTTATTTAAGGTATAACAAAGGGTCGGTTTTCTTTAAAAAAAAAAAGTGGGGTGGCTGGGGGTGAATCTGTGAAAAAATAAAATTTTCAAAATCAACTGAAAATTGCGTCATATAAAATAAAAATCGACGTGTCCGAGCAATTTTCTATAAAATTCATATTTTTTAAGTTCTAGGGGCTTTTATATATCTCCATTATTCGAACTAAACTGGTAAAACCCCTTAAAGGATTTGTTTTGGGGGTTGCCTAGATTCGATTTATTCAGATTTGATTCCAGTTCATTTTTTGTGTTGCACAGTGTTATCAGTCAGTTATAATAGTATGATTAAACATATATTTTTAAGCAATTAATTATTTAATTTTAATTTTAAAATTCAATACTTAAAATAGAATTAATTAATTAATTAACCCAATAATTATATTTTTCATAATTACCTTATTGATCCTGTAGCATTAGCATAAACTTCTGAGTGCCCAGCACCAATTGCCAAAACGTTTATTGTTAAACTGTCTTTGACATTTGTTAAATTAACAAGGAACGGGCTTATTTTAACTATGTCCTTATGTTGGACTATAAATTCCAGCTCTGCATTGCTGGTTATATTACTGAAACAAAAAAATAGTTTAAAAAACAAAATGCCCGAAAATGTCTTCGTAAAATTTTAAGAACGAGTACTTAAAATATTTACTCGTAAGTACTTTACTCGTAAGTAAATTTGTAAAGAGAGGTTACGGTTACGAGTAGTAATCGTGAAAACACGAGTAAAGAGAACAAATTCTTTTAAAAAAGAATGTTAGTTAATAAAATTGATTAGTTTTTATACATTATACATACTTTGGTCCTGAGCTATACAAATACTAATTTATAAAATTATGTATTTTAAACATAAGGTACATAAAATAATAAATAAAAATAACAATTCTTAAATAGTTTATAATTTTACCTATATACCTATAGGCTTTAATATATTATATTATAGGTACTATATATCCTATAATTTAAAAAAGACTCCAAACAAAAGGTTTTGATGCTTACGATATTTTGGCAAAAAGTCATCGATATAATAAACGAAAATACTCGTAAATATTACTCGTGAATTCCACGAGTATTTTTTACGAGTACATTGAATTTGGTTTTTAAGTACGAGTATTATTAGTATTTCAAATGAAAAATACTCATGAGTAAAAATGTACTCGTTCTTTTTAAATTAAAATACGAGTAAAAGTACTTGGCCAAATCTGATAGGAATATGCCAGAAGATACGGAGCTTGAAGTTGTAGTAGTGCACGAAGCATTCTGAGATTTGAGGATCCTATTTTTGAAGTCGCAGAGGCAAGTCATTTACAACTGTGCGTGTAGATGTGCTCAAACAAAATTTGACAGTTAAAAATTGCCCTGGCAGTTAATAGAAATCTGCACATTAAAATGAATATTTCGTGAAATTGAAAACTGTCCTAATTTAAACAAACTTGCATACTTGAAAAGTGCCCTTACATGCATAGATTTAAAAAAATGGTAGGACAAATTCGCACAGTAACATACATTTAAATAATGGTGAAAAAACTTCGCACTGTAGGATAAATTTAAAAAACTATAGGAAAAATTCGCACACTTTAATAAATTTAAATAATTCTGGGACAAATTCGCACGGTGTATAAATTTAAAACATAGTTAGACAAATTTACAAAAGTTTCCAAAAACAAATTAAAATTAATAAAAATCTTGACATTTTCCAAAATTTTTACATTTTTAATCAAACCTCTCTTCAAACATCTTTGACTCACCTTACTTCTAAAAGTACTTGGGCTTTTTGATTTAGCTTAAGGCTTAAATCATGTGTAGATAACCTTATATCACAATAAATGCATGGAATGGTTGCTAAAATAAAAAAATAAAATTTAAATAAGGTTTTTAGTAATTTTAGAAATTCTTACCAATAATTAATACTAAAATTAATACGGGACATTTTCTTCTAGTAAATATTCGACCCATTTTTCTAAAACAGAAATATTAGTGTTATGAATTCATTTAATTATTTTTTACAGTACTATTGTTACATAATGTTGTTTTGCGTATATATGTACTTAATGGTTTTTACGATAAACTTTTTTATTATTTAGAATAGATTAAATCTCGAGAATTTACATAAATAAAAAATAAATACACCATTGTCTAATTTTTTATTTAATTGAATAATGATGATTTTTATATGCAGGTATACAGGGTGCCCCAGAACTCGCGCCACAGAGAAAAAGTGTACTTGTTCTTGATCCTAGGTCAGCATTTTATTGCATTGAAAATTAGTAAACAAACTAACAAACGTGCTATTTTGTTTTTAAAACAAATATTAAATGTAAATTTTGCAACAGTTAAATTTTAATTTTGTATGTAGGTCATGCATATATTTATTTGAGGTGAATCTAAATAATATTAAATATTTTTAATGTATGTTAAACATTTTTAAAGTAAAATTATACCTACCATATTGTTTTATTATTGTAGTTTAATCATATTTATTTAAGGTTGTGATCATGGTAGACACTAATTATAACTTTTTTTTCACCCGACTGTAACATTGAAAATTATCATTGTAGTTAAATTGGCCATGACAAGTCGACGTCCATGTATAATTATTTAATACCAACGTGCATGTAAAATATAAATTTATAAAATATCAAATACTGCAAATAAAAAATTGCATGAAATTCCAATTAAACGAAAAATTAAAACATGCTATTTTTCTTTTGTTAAAAATGCAAACAATTTCGAGTTACCGATACTATTGTTTATACAGGGTGGCCGGTTAGGTGGTAATTTCAGATTTTAAACTAAATTATTTTTTTTATTTAAATTCAATAGTTTACTTATTATGTAAGACAAAATCAATAAAATTCCCCACAACGTACGACCCCTTGCAAGCATATGTATATGTTGTAACACAATACACAGGGCATTTCTACTCAAAATGTACAACGAAATAGAGGTTCTAGATATTATCGACATTTTTTTTTTAATAAATAGTTTTATTTGAACTTTTGTTTTTAAAAAATCAATCTTTTATTTTAAACTTTTTTGGTTGGTATTTTTGTTAAAAATGTTTTACATACAAAATCGTAGACATGAAAATTTTAAAAAACTTTAAATCCCGGAAATAAATAAATATAAAAAAATGGTCAATAATTTAAAAACAAAAGCGCATATGAAAAATATTTAGTAAAAAAAGTGTGAGTCTTGATGAGATCCAATTTAATCCATTTTAAGTGGAAACACCCTGCTTGTATTAGAAAAATATTAACATTTTAATTAAATTTTCCTTACCTAGGTTATTTTTATCAAACTAATTTAATTCTGTCGAAGCACATATGATACATGTCCGCGAGTAAATTGGTTTAATAAATAATTTTATATAAAGCCAAGCATTGGTTTTTACTTTATTACGAATTTTAATAAATTATAAAAGTAGGGATCGCTTTTCAAGAATCGCAACTTGCAAATTCCGTAATTATATTTGTTATAACAAATATAATTACGGAATTTGCAAGTTGCGATTCTTGAAATTATTATGAGATTATTATAATAATCCGATGATAAAAAATAATAAAAACATTATTCAAAAATTATTCTAACCAACTTACACAATTATTTCGAAGAAAAGAATCCCTCTGCAAGAAAATATTTTTGCACATCATATCAAACGCAAATTTTCATTGAGACTAAAAAGGAAGCTCCTAGTTAATTTAGGCATAAGTAAACAAGAAAATGAGTTTCCACTTAAAAATAGTCGTAAAAAAATAAACATATTAAAAATGAATCCTGGCACTTATAATACATACAGGGAGATTCCCAATTGATGTAAAAAATGAAATGGGCGATTCTCCACAAGATTTGGCAACGAAAAGTTCATATTTATACCCATGGATGTTAGGGCTTATCTTAGATTTCGAGATACAGGGTGTTGAAAATGCAAAGAAGATTTAAAGTTTATATTATTAAGAATTAACAAGAAATAAATGTTTCACTTCTTTAATCTGATCATTACAATTTTTCTTAGGAATGAAGTTATCCTGCCTTAATCGATTACATACTTTTATGTAAGTCAAAAAGTTGCAACTGGCTAAAAAAGTTGCAATTATAAATTAGCATTTATGCAAACAATTTAAAAACTTCAGAAATTTGAATTGGGGGGTTTGGGGTAAATCAGTTCCGTAAAATAACAACACCTGTATATTAAATGCAAAGTTAGTACCAGATTATTATATAGCATGTTGAAAACTTAGTTATGCCGAATTTGTAATTAAGACCTAAAGAGTTTTCTGAGATATGATCTAAAATTTAAATTTTATTTGCATTTCAACACCCTATATCTCAAATCCCTAACATTCATATGAAGTTTTCGTCACCAAATCATATGGAGAATCACCCATTTATTTATGTTTTACCTCAATTTGAAATCACCCTGTATATACATATTATGTACCATACATATAAAACATTTAACAGACTTTTATGATGATGATGATTTATAATATAATTAAAAATATTAATTATATTAAATTATAATTATTATAATATTATATTATTTATGTAGAAAAAATAACAATTACATTTTTTATTAAGTTTTGGGTATGTACAAGATGACTTTTACTTTACAACTATTTTTAATCTTTTTTATTTACTAATAAAATATAAATAGCATCTGCTATCGTATCATGAACTTATGATTAAACATACGAATCATATGTTAGTTATACATACTGTTTCGAAAACGGGACACTAAAGAAATTGTAGAAGTTTAAGAATTCTAATCACGCGATATGGTAGGTAAGTAATTATTAAGCATTTAGTTTTAAAAACTAGGCAACTTGACAGTGTTGCATTATGACATTTATTGTCTTGAAAGAAAATAAAATTAATACCTATTGTCTTATTTTTATCATTGAGTTTCCATGATTGTTTTAAAGAATTTCCACTTTTCTACCTAAAATATTCCCAAATTCTATTAATAATCTTTATTTAGTTCAAAATGCATTATACATAGGTACCATTGGGTGTAGAACACGTCACAAAAATTAAGGTAAGGTAATTATAAAAGTACACTATTTTTGATCATAAATAAAATGCCAATTAAAAATTAAAAAAGAATATTTATTTTAACCATTTCGCTACGACTTCCAAAATTTGTGTTTAAAAATTACTATTGGGTCATATTTGTCCCACCCAAGTTTAAAAAAATACTAGTGGTATATAAATACATACTGTCCCACTCGTAAAAGCTACTGCGTCATAGGGGCGAATGCTGCATACTTTGCAATGATGAGTAATTAACCCAGTAGGCGTAGCTACCGCGGTATCAGCCGTATCAATGATAGGGGGCCTCCGGCTAGGGGGGGGGGCGATTGGCTTCGACATGCATAAGCAAAAAACATATTTCCCACATGTGGGAAATATGCATATTAAAAAAATTTAGGCATGAAATTAAATATATAAATAAATAAATAATATTATTATTTAATTGTTTATACTGCGACTTATTAAATTTAAATTTTCCTGAAAACCCTCCTGTTCCAACGAGGCCGTGAACGCATACGAATTGTTTCTGCCCGCACCTCTCCGCTAAGCGTTGTCTGCGTCGTAGTATGCGCATATTGTTCTGTGCTCTGCGCCGCATACTGAGTGCTTTGCTTGTTATTATCATAGGTTATATTAATAGCAAATTAGAAATAATTATTAGCGTTACAATTATTTCAAATGACTTGCCTTTATTTTAAAATAGAAACCTTTTAAAAGATGTTGAAGAACGGTAAATGTCTAAAACCAGACCAAATCTTAAAACTTGCCTGTACATAAAAAGCTATGTATACATATATTATTTATTACATTATGCAAAAATGATACCCTAAAAATTTTTGTTGGCCCACAATAGACTTTGGGCGTGACACCCAGAATTTTTTTTGACAGCAGCTTTTCCCGTATAAGGGCCACTGAATTAAGCTTTTAATATATATTATATTTCTTTCATTATACTGCTGGGATATATTTGTCCCTTAAATTCAAACGGGTGGGACATATATGTCCCAAAAATAGGTCTGCAAAATAGGCCCCTAATATTATTTTATTGCAATAAATTATTTCCAATGTTATCCTCATTTCATTATAAAATAAAAAAAATTAATTATTTCAAAAAATTGTAACGTCTTTTTTGGGCTATCAGTTTATTGGAACGTATATGACCCTTTAGTAGCAAAAGGATTGATATAAATTGATATAGCTCAAATATGCTATAAGTATTATGCTACATGTATTTTTTATATAGATAGAGGGAATTTCGAAAATAAAAAAAACAACTTAAGTTCAACTCATACCCTAATTGACTCATTTTTATATATTCTTCTTGTTTATCCTTTGTATTGTAACGTTTTTACTGTTCGTAGTGTTTTAGCACTGGTTTATTAACGAACTAAACGATTTATTTTATAACTTAATTAAACTTAACACACTAATTATAAAACTAACTAAACACTTAACTACTAATTATTTATATCATTACTGTATAAGAGTCTATTTATTTGAACGTATATTTATTTTATTTCGTCGCGAGGACCAAAGCTTGACTGACTCTCCATGCTGCGCCGTTCCTTATATATTCAGTGCCTACGTTCCCGAATATTCCAGCGAGCTCCACACAGCTCTCGATCGCTCGAGCGCTGACTCACGGGCAATGACTCATCGGCGATGAGTCATTATTCCGAGATCCAGAGCCGTACTCGCTACAGTACTAATATTTATTTTTTTTTCGTGTAATTCATATACAATATATATAAAAACAGTTATCTAATAATTTTTTGCTTCTTATTATTTTTTTATTCCCAAATCTTAATTTTATTTCTCTTTATTTTTTGCTTAAATTATTAGATACCTGTTTTTGAAAATTCTATATTATTATTATAACCTGCGTAAAATAAAGATGGGCCGTCCGAAACCAGGGACGGATCCAGTTCATCTAAATCAGGTCAGGTCGCAGACCTGTTCCCATGGATTTATTCTGCGGATTTGATTAATGACACACCAGTCTTAAGAAGTCGGATTCCGTCTGACCCGGTCCTGTACTGAATTCGTTCGAAAGGAACGGGTCGGAACCTACCGACACACATCTGGCAACACCGGTGCTAGTCCTACTTCGAGCGGTCGATGGATAAGCAGCGGCGAAAACCGTTTCGGAAAATGGACAACTGTGTAGACAACAACCTTTTAATATCACTGATACTGGCACGACCACCGATATGGAACATAAACCATAGAAGTTACAGAAATAGAAATGTCATAGAGAGATGCTGGCGAGACATCAGCAGCAACATGGGTGTCAACAGTAAGTAACATTCAATGTTGTTGACTAAGAAAGTTGGGTTAGGTTATTGATGATACACAAAACGGACCTGTGTAACACGCAGTGCTGCCAGATCAGGGGTTTTGTCCCTAGATTTAGTGGTTTTTGAATGCTCGGGGTTTAGGGGGACTAAATTCTTAGGTGGAACCATTTTCGGTAAAAACTGATTATAACATAAAAAAATAAAATTCAAACGTTGCATGTACAATTTTTTTTACTTCTTATAAACACGCAAGTCATATAATATAATATTATGTGTATATGCTACGTTCGTTTATTAACACGCAATAATGGGTATGTCAGTAAATTTTTAATGATAGAGAAAATTTCACACTGAAAAAATTGATATTTTGAATTTTAACAATTAGGGGGGAAGCACCGATCTGTAAGGGGAAATCTAGATCCATCTGGATCATTTGGGGGGAACCGTTCTGACAATATATTACTGCCTGTTTTGAAAGCCAGGACCCAGAAATAATTAAATGAAAGATACAGTCCGCGCGTTATAACTTAATATAATTTGTAATTATTAAATATATAATATACATATTAGGGTGGCCCAAAAAAAAGAATATCTTTTTTTTTCTCGTCTCTTGTAAAAATATGTTAGTTTATCATGCTGTAAGAGCCCTGTCAAAATATCAGCTCGATTAAATAATTTTTAGGGGTCGCTCAAGATTTTTTAAAATTTTCAAAATCGTCAATAATTGAATTTTTGTTTTATTTTAATTTTCTTTCCTTTCTCGATATTATTTTTTTGGTAGAAAATAATAAAAATTTTGAAAATATCAAATCAATATTTTAATTTCTAAAGGTCGCTAAAAGTTCGTGGGTATTTATATTCAGAGGTCGCTCGAAAACATTCAAAATACTCTACTTTGAAAGTTAAAAAAATCTTGAGCGACCTTTAGAAATCAAAATATCCATTTGAAATTTTCAGAATCATTATTATTTTTAAATTAAAAAATAATATCGGAACGAGAAAAAAAATTAAAATAAAAAAAATCCAATTTTTGACGATTTTGGAAATTTTTAAATATCTTGAGCGACCCCTAAAAATTTTTTAATGGAGCTGATCTGTTGACAGGGCTCTTAAAACATGACAAACCAACATATTTTCACAAGAGACAAGAAATATTCTTATTTTTTTGGGCCACCCTAATACATATGTATATGTAGGTTTAATATTGTAGATACTTTTTATCCGGGTATGAATAAAAGCTTGAGAAGAACTTTATTATGTGTATTTTTCGTTTCCGCCATTACTTAAGTAATGGCGGAAACGAAAAATACACATAATAAAGTTCTTTACTTGACAATATTGCTTCTTTAGAAGCTCCTAGATTATTTTTGGTAATGTTGGTGGTTATAGGTACCTATACGTATTTTAATATTTATTTATTTAATATATTTTTTAAACTAGTTCATGAATAATTTTGCGCTACGATGAATTTCTCTACAATAAATTAAATAAATGGCAAACAAAAATTAAAAGTAAATATTGAATAAGCGCCAATGCTTTGCCAAACATGTGTTAAACTGAACTTAAAGGGCGGTCAACTGAGCATAGGGCGTTCTCGCCAAGTTATAACGCGCGGACTGTAACTGACGAATAAAATTAATATTTCAGAGTACTTTCTACGCAAAAGATGGAAAAACTTAAGGGATCATTTTCGTTCGGAATTGGCCAAAGTGCAAAACCCAGACGAAAAAGGCACCAAATGGGAGCATTTCAATAGTTTATTATTCCTTAAAGACGTGGTTAAACAACCAAAAAATACTGAAAATCAAGACAAAAACTACATCGACGATGAGCAATACGAACCATATTTGGAAACTGAAGATGACGCCAAAAACGACTTTGACGAACCTGAGTATGTCCAAGCGGAAAATTTTAAGAACGACATTGATTATTCCGATTACGAAATGGATCCAGATTCTTTGGCGGACTCGGTATATAAAAAAAGGAGATTTGAAGAAAATGAGGACGAATTATTTTTCAAAAGTTTATTGCCCCATTGTAAGAGAATACCAGACCATACAAAATTGTTATTTAGAAATAAGGTTATGTTGTTGGTGAATGAGTTTGCGTATGAAGATGGAAATAAGTCGGAAAATCCTAGTAGTAGCGCGTAGATTTAGTTTTGTTTTTTTATTTTTTTATAAACTGCACAGTATTATCTTGAGTTACTTAATGTATTTGTCACGAATAAAATAATAATGTTTTTTTCTATTTACTGGCTGTTAATTTAAAATTTTAACACCTATGATTTTTTAATAAAAATGTTGTACGTTTTATTTAACATATTTTTTATCAAACCAAGTAAAAAAATACTATTTTCTTATCTGCAAGCATTAGTAATATTCCCACAATAGGCAAATAATGAATGCTATTGTATTGCAAATATTGATAAACTATTGCTTTTTTTAAATTATTATTGAATTTATTTATATATTAAAAATATTAAGTAAGACACTAAAAATTGTATTCAATAAAATAAATAAATGTCTATAGTAGGTATATTCATTTTAGCAATTCCCTAGAATTTAACAAATGCTCGCGAAGACCACCTGAACAACGCACATGCTATTTTTCAATTGGCAGAGTTAAAATGAATACTATTATAGCACAGGTAATAAATAAGTAGATAATCTGGTCCAGTGTGGTTTGAAATGGGAATATGTTAAAAGGTCAAGGGTAAGTCTAAAGATCGGTTCTTAGAATTATTAAGGAACCATCGAAACTTTTGTAAAGATTTATATTTCCTACTTTAATATTTAAACAATTATACCAAAGTTAGCACCCTTTTTAAAAAAATACATACACCCTTTTTTAAATAATAGTTCTTAATATAACTATAACTATAGTTATATTATTTAAATGTATATATCATACAGGACTTTTAACTTATTTATTTATTAAAAATTTATATCTATATATCGGTCGTGTGGAATCAAGCGGAGATATCCTCTGCTGTGCTAAGTAAAAAGGTGGTAACTATTGTGAATCTTAATATTGTAGCTAGGCACATCTGTGGCTCAACCCAGTAAAGGACATGTCCGCTTTTGATTGTACACGATTCATATATTTTTTTTTGTTTATTTGCGTATCGACAGCTAAGGTTCCAAAATTTTATATTATTATTAGAATAATAATGACGTAATATTAAAATAATATTAACGTAATTCCTATTTAAATATTAATTTAAATAATTTAAAACCAGTGCAATCAATGCATTGTTTAAATTTGATTACTTTTTTACAGGCAATTAAACTCAACAAATGTTTATGTAAACAAACAACAATTAGAAAAAACATATTTCTTTATAAAACGTTAAACAAATAAAAATATTTAAAAAAAATACGAAAATTTAATTTGATTTTAACAACATTTTCATTTCACCCTATGACTAAATAATTTTAAGTACATATTTGGACTCCAATTTTATATTTTGTAATTTTTTTTAATAAAGGTTGTTAATAAGTTAATCAAAAACTGTTTTTTGTATCTTTTGTGTATCTAAACCAACTAGGGAATCTGTATTATGTCAAATGTCATTTAATCCGATATAGAAGCAGTTTTTTAAAGTATATATGGCACTATACGCTAGAGTCTCCACCAAAAATTAAGTTAATTCTAGTTTACTTCCTGCGAAATTAAAATGTTAGTAGAATGTTTACATTAACTTTTCAAATATTGGCGCTGAGGAACTATTTTATATTTTTCTATATTTGTATTTTTACATTTAGTATTATTTTACAAGAAGATCACTTTATTTTAACGATTGTATGACATTTGATAACTGTCAACTAACTTCCCAGGCAGTGTTACCAGATTCTGTCAAAAAAGGACCGTACGTTTCGTTCGAATTTACCTTAATTATAAAATGACACAATGAAACAATGCAAATAAATGCAATTATGTCAAGTTGACGTTATTTAATATTGTCCATTAAGTCATTTTTGTAATTAAGGTAAATTCGAACGAAACGTACGGTCTTTTTTTGACAGAATCTGGTAACACTGTTAACAGTGTTAATTAAAACTAACTTCAGCACGTGACTAAAACGCCATAAAGCCACAACTTGTTAATGTGTATTTAAAAGGCCACTTAGTGTCATGGAAACATCTACGATAATGGACGTTTTAAAGGTGAGATAATAGAGTCAAAGAAATTATTATATAATTATCTTTTACAGGATAAGGATTTGAGTTAAATGGGAAAAATTCAAATAACGCTAACATGGTTGATCGAACTATTTGTGACAAAAATCAAGACTTCTTATAATTAAAACATTGTTATTATTTTTATTTTGAAACGTCATTAAAAAATTGTTTTCTATAATTTTTTATAAAATAAGATTCTATGATATGGTGTAAGTGTAGTAAATTTAATTTGTAAAAATTGTAACTCAAAAACTACTCGTCATTTAAATACCTACCTACATAAAAACTATTTATCAAAAATAAATAATCCCCCTATCTGGTAGGGAGTAAGTGTAGAAAATTTAATTAAAAAAAATTGTAACTCAAAAACTACTCGTCATTTAAATTGTGGTATTTTATGCTCAAAATAATCACATCTATCTCCTGTATACAGGTTGCCCAAAAATGGAACACTAACGGAATACAACGCAATTTATTATTATTTAACAATAATTACAAAAAAATAAATATTAACAAATTTAAATTTTTTATATTTAAACGTTCCAATAAAATTGTTTTCTATCCTTTTATATAAAATACCTATACAAATATTATACAAATATAAATTAAATTTAATTTTAAAAACCTTATAACTCAAAAACTAGTAGGTCGAAAAATGTTTTGTATTTGTTTAGGCTTAAAATAAGAATAATTGTACATACGTATGGACTTGTGCTAATAATTTAAGAAAATTTAATCTTTTGCTTAAGAGATGTTTCTTTACTTTTGGATATTAAATAGTAAAATTTCCAAGAAGATTTTAACATATTTTTTCACTGTAGGTACCTACTTGCCTTTCTCAGGTAAAAATCGCAAACTAAAAATATATTGAAGACTGAAAACAGTTCTATACAAAATATATATTTATTAATGCAATAAAATAAAATATATTATAAATAACCTTGCTGCAAATACATACCTAACATTAATTATTATTTCCGCATATTAAACTTGAAATTGTTAATCTATAAAATTTAAAAACCCTATCATTTAAATAACTTCATTAAACTGTTAACAACACATAAGTAACACGGTAATCATTAATTGACAAATTAATTAACAAAAGAGGTCGATATCTTACCTAAAAAGTAGAGTGTGTTATTGGTGTCTGATTTCCATTTAGGATTTTATTGAGGTTATGTTTACAATCGGCTTGAAGGCAACGTACGACCGCCTCTCATGGTGGTTTCGAACGCACTGAATCGATTTGAAGTTTGTTGATATCCAAACCGCTATAGCGATATAGCGATAGCATCTCGCAAATTAACGCGATATTTTACTAATTATTACCAATACCGAAAAAAAACTACATGTTTTAATATATTTGAATAGTAAACTATACTTCATAGAATTTACTATACAGGGTCTATTTAAAGTCTGGACCTAGAAAAGATATCAAAAATTTCTAAAAACCGTTTGTAGGATATATGGGGGGAATCAGTATGCCCATAAAAATGACCTTCACTAACCAACCCCTCAACTCAACTTTTTTAAATGGTACCACCCTCTTTGTGATACCTCATTGGAAAGCTCTCGAAAATTGATATTTAACAGTACCTACTAAATCAAAATACTTTTGAATACCTAGTTTATTTTTTTTTAGAAATATGCAAAATAATTTCTATAATTATTTATTGCAATTTCTCGTTATAAATATCAAACTAAACCATTAAATATCAAATTAAAAAATTAATTATTCAATTAAACCATTTTGTTGTTGTAAAAACATAAACTAAAAAAGCATAAATAAACAAATTGTTTAACAATAATCAAAACACTTTAATTTTTAGCTTTTTAAATTAAATGCTCAAAATAACTCCCATTATAAACAAACATATCTATAGCTCTTCATTTTTTAACTATTCGTTGTCGCAGATCTTTAATAGAATTAGGCTAAGTTTTGTAGACCACAGATTTTAAGTGCCTCCATAATAAAAAGTCTAATGGTGTCAGATCTGGAGATCTGGGAGGCCATTATATTGGTCCTCTTCTACCAATCCACTGTTCTGGATAATTCTGATACAGCCAAGCCCTAACAGCTACTACATAATGAGGTGGTGCTCCATCTTGTTGAAAATGTAATACATTTTCATTTAAAGCTAGTTCATCATCCTCTCCTCTTTGATTTTCTATTTAATTTATTATTAGTGGGTGTATTGTTTCATATATGGTTGGTTTCTTTTTAGATTGCAAACGTGTTTGTTCAAATTTTGCGACCAGCTCTTGAACATATTTGTGACGCATATTTTTGCCACGGTGAAGTTCAATAAATATCACTGCAGTTCGTAGAGCACAACAATTTTGTGCATCATAAATAAAAATAATTTCAACACGTTCAGCCGTTATGTAAACCATTTTGAAAAATAAACAATATTTTTTCTGATTTTTATGCTGATTAGTTTTAATATTCTAAGAAGTATATACCACTTAAAATATTAAAACTAATCAGCATAAAAATCAGTCTTTTTTGTAAGTTTGTATAAATCTGATAAAAAAATCCACCTAAAACATACACATTCCATTGAGGATTTAAATTGTTCAATAATGCCAATATATTTTTCGAATATAAATTCAATTGCAATTAATTTAAATTCTAGCCTTCATCTAAATGGGGTTATCAATTTACTTACAGACATAAAAAAGTGCGTCTGATTATAATCATTAAATACGAACGTACAGTTTTGTTCTGGAGATTGCATTTAATAATTGGCAATATTTATTCTAATATTGATTGTTAACAATTGGTTCATAACTTATAGACTTAGGGTAAAGTGGGGGAAATCGACTACATAATTAAGGGCTTAAGCGCTATAATATTAAACATTTCCAGTAGTAATCTTGTAATAAGAAGAGCAAAAGGTAAATATTGCTTTATTAATTTATCTATTATGAGTTTTTTCTATTGGTTTTGCAAACAAACAAATGTATTTTTTATGAGGTACGTTTAAAAAAAAGGAAAAAGTCACTAATAATTATTAATTGGTCAAATTCTACTGAATGAAATACTCAAATTAGTAGATTTCAATTTAAAAAAGTATTGACCCAGACTGGGTCACCCAGCCAGGGTTTGAACTCGGGTCTGTGTCTTGTCAAGAGGATATCAAACCCGTGCTCTTCTGTCACTTTTATAAAAATTAGTTTTATTTGTCATAAATATGGATAAAAATATTTTAAAGCTAAATATATTTTTTGTGTTGCTGGTTTGAGCTAAACTTTTTGCATCTTGGTTTGTTTTTAAGGGCCACTTAACCATGGAGCCTATATGCATTTAACTCTAACAATAATTTGTTGTTGGCAGCAAAAATTAAAACCGATTAAAGAAATTAGTTACTTTTTACTCTTATTAGAAAACATGCAGTCAAAGATGGTTACTTATCTTAAATTAGTCAAACTTTAACTACTTTAGTAGCTACTAGTAAAAAATAATTATTTAAAAGCGAAAACGACTATTTTATTAGTAAACAATGCTGGTACTAATACAAGTAGTACAATTTTGACTATTTAATTTTAAGAGAGCGGGCAATTTCGACCGATAGGATAATATCGATCAAGCAGTAAAATTTTAAAATAATGATAATTCCAAGGTTTTAACCAAAAAACATACACAGGGAGCCCGAACTTAATAGGAAAAATTGACAAAACCTGCCCTCTAAATTGCACAAATTAAGGCGCTGATTGTTGATGCGTACTCAGTGCTGCCAGATTGGGCGCTTTAGCGCCAATTGGGCGGATTTAAGAAATAATTTGCGCCTAGTTTTTTATAAAAAGCGCAAACCGCAATTTGGGCGATTTCTAAAAAAATAAATTGCTCTTTTGGAAATTCTTCGAATTAAACTTTACTTGAAATGTATCTTCAGATTGCAGCTGCCTTATAGATATTAACAGCGATCACCACAAATAATAATCATAGATGGTATTAAAGTAGTGTAAACACATATACTTACTGGGTAAGTATATCAAGTGTATATCAAGTGTATATGTGTAAAAAATGTAATTTTATAATTAGAGGTGAGTGCGGTCAAAATTTGAATTCAAGTAAAAGAAATTGAAATTGAAATATGAGTTCTGATTGGACAGCTAACTTTTTTCCCCTTTCCGTTACTAGGATGTTGTGCAGCCGGCTTAACAGCTGTTACTAGTAATAATATTAGTAATAAATATAGCCTACCAGCATTCACAATAATAATGAATAGGAACAGTTTCTATTCCTTATTATTTCCCAGATAGCACAAGATGTCCTGAGGACATCCGGTTTAAATCCTTTACAGACGGTCGCGACCAGAAAACCGATGGACGTCCTGAGGCCTAGGCCTATGGACGTCCTAAGGCCTAGGCCGATGGACATCCTGAGTACGTCCATCGGTTTTTTGCCTGCGACAATAGTTGAAGATACAAGTTGATATATCACCCTTTATAAAGGCCTTTATAAAAGGTGATATATCAATTTGTATCTTCAACTATTGTCGCAGGCAAAAAACCGATGGACGTACTCAGGATGTCCATCGGCCTAGGCCTTAGGACGTCCATAGGCCTAGGCCTCAGGACGTCCATCGGTTTTCTGGTCGCGACCCGGGTCTAAAAAAAATTACACCTTGTTTTTTATTAAAAATACTCCTTAATCAAGCACGATAAAAGATTTTTAAAAAAAGTTGTCAATTTTTTTTCACTTATATGTCTATAGATAGATCCTTTATCCACTTAAGTGGAATTGTGTCTTTAGTTGTCAAGTATTTTTAGCAATTGCAATTTTCCATATCTCTAACTTATTTAAAAATATCTAGTAAAATTAATTAATTCATTGCATTAAAAATATCATTACAAATTTTAAAAAATTATTTTTAATTATATTATATTAGGTATATTATATTTTTAATTTGTTGAATAAAAAATATCACATTGGCCAAATTAATAATTTGAATTAATAATATTATATGAGAAATGTATAATACGAATTAAAAATACCATTGGAGAAATTTCTCCACTTTAACATTTAAATTATTTAATTTGTCCTATAATATTTTTAATGCAATAAATTGTAAGAGTTTATTTTAAATTTACCGCCAAATAAACAGTTGGTATTGGAAGTAACCAGTTTAGTGACTTTAAGTTGGCAGTCTGAAATCCGCCATGTTGGCATTGTTCATAAAACAGCGTGTGCTGTTTTTAGTTAGCTCCCTGTTTAGTTAAATTTATATGTATTTAAATATATGATATAAGTGAAAAACAACTTTTATTATATGGAAAAACCCCTACAAAATTTAAGTTTTCACTTGATATTTTTAAATAATTTAGAGATATGAAGGTATGTGAAATTCAATGGAGAAATAAATAAAAATAGTATTATGAAAGGTTTATTGTTTTAACTTAAGGAATATATGGTTAACGGATTGACCTCCTTTTCCCGGACACCCTGTATATATAAATATATATATATATATATATATATTAACAAAACACTTGTTAACACTGTATTACATTTCCCTATTATAATAAAACTATGTCCTAATTCGGTCCTCATATGTCCCGAATTGGACAGCTTGGGGTCAAATACGGACGTCCTGAGGACATCCTATTTCGGAAGTCTGTGGACGGTCAAATACGGACGTCCTGAGGACATCTGAAACAGTCTATTTCGGAAGTCTGTGGACGTACTACGAACGTACTTTTGCAGACCCCAGACATCCTGAGGACGTTCGGGTTGTCCTGGGTGGAAGTCCTACGAACGTCCTACGAACGTACTTGTGCTATCTGGGTTTGAATTACAGTAGGCCATATTTAAATTTATTTATTTTAAAAAATAAAGAATATTTATTTTTTTATTTATTTTTAATAATAATAAACATTTATTTTTGTATATTTCATAAATAATAATAAAATTGTTTACTATCAAGAAAAATGTCTTTATCTATAAAAATATTAAACTGGTGTGTTTAAGTATTTTTAATGCATTTTGCGAATTAACCGTTACAAGAATTTAATTTTACCAATCTAACGTTGGCGCTGATTGCAATTTTGTTGGCGCTTTTGGGCGATATCTCACTCGAAAATTGGCGCCTCGACATCTGGCAACACGCAGCGTACTGACGTCTGCTCTTTTGGTACCGTTTCGGTACAAATTAGTCAATTGTTTCAGAATAAACGGAACACCACCGGACTCCTTGGTTTTAACATTAATAACATCAATATTGACTACAGTTATAAGTGGCTGCTTTTTCACTTATACCATGGTTATCCTTGGGATACCATGATATTCTTATGTAAAATTTTCCCCTCAATCCATTAAAATATCGTCAAAAATTATGAAAGTAGAGCAGTTTTTTAGATATAGTCAATTCCATAGTAAATGGAAAACTGACTATATCTCAAAAACTGTTATACTTTTCTAACTTTTGACGACATTTTCGGATTCAGGGGACAGTTTTACATGGAAATTGACTGCTAAATGTTCGGGATACAAATTGGTATTGACAAGAATACGAGGTGTGTTCTCGTTTTTTGAAACAAATATTTATTTATTCGTCTACATTAATGTGGTCGCCTTCAAAATAGTCCCCATTGGGTATTATGCACATGTGCCAGCTCTTCTTTCAATACTCGAAACACTTCTAAAACTAGATCTTTGGGATACCGATGCGCTTTTTATGTCATCTATGCTTGCAAAACGACGGCCCTTAAGGTTCTCTATATTTTTGGGAATAGGAAAAAGTCAGACAGAGGCATGTCTGGCGAATATGGAGGCTGGGGCATCATTGCAGTATTGTTTTTGGCCAAAAATTTTGTTCAAAATTTAACAATATTAGAACAAATTTTGCTGCCACACGTTTCATACCCAAAACATTCGAAAAAATTTCATGGGATGAGCCAATCGATATACCAACATCATCAGCGACTTCTCTGATGGTTTATAACTATTTCTTCCACTTTTTCCATGTTTTTATCGGTTATTAATGTGCTTGTGCGTTCGGGGCGTTCGTCATCTTCAACGTCTTCACGGCCATCCTGGAAACTGTTATACCACTTGTAAACTCTTGTTTTACTTATAGCAGACTCACTATAGACCTTTGTTAACATTTCACAGAATTTATTTCATTTTTAAGCAAAATTGGATACAAATTCTTTGATCCATTTCTTTTAACGAACGAAAAATCGCCGAGCTCATAAAACACGTCTAACCTTAGCGGCTGCCACAGACAAAGTAAACAATGAAAACAGCTTAAGTTTTTCATACTTCGGGGGCATTTATACCAACATAATAAAGAAAATTTTATGACAACCGGACCTTCTGAACAGGCGAAATTTAACAATTCCCGTTATTTTCTGAACACTCCTCATATTAGTGGCTGCTTTTTTGACTAATTCATTTTTAGAGAGTATTCACGACTACTTAACGCAGGATTTAGCATATATTTTATGCCCATGCCTTTTATTATAAAACATAATTTTAATTTAAATAGTACATTATTTTTGAAAGTTTACATTTTCAGGGGTAAAAAAAATAAATCAAATTGTCTCAATCTTTTATTAAGATAATGTACAGATATTACAACAATTGCATTTTGTTTAACATTTTGTGTTTTTATTAAAACAAACAAAACATCCAAGGCACCATTCTTCATTTACATAGAGTAACTTATTTTTAGGTTTTTAATAAATAGAGTCCTAATTTCAATTTAAAACTTATCACTACCTTTACATAATAAATAAAAACGAAAATCTAAATTCTTTTGTCAACAACATATTTTTCAGAAGAAGAAAAAATCAACAATTTTTCTAAAAATAAATTACTCCACATCTTACATATTCTGCCTTTGTAAAAAAACAGACTACCGCTACAGAGTTTCTATTTTAAAGGTTTTTTATACTATTTTACATGTTAAAACTATTTATTACTATTTCCACTAATTTTGTAATAAATAATACATATCATACATTTACAATGATTGCAAATCGCACAATTTTTGTATTCAATTTTTACAGTTTACAGGACTAGTCCTTAGCTAACGTTAAAATTTTTTGAAAATAAAAACAGTAAAATATCCATAAATCATAATTTGTACCGTACATTGTTTTTTACAGTGCCAAAAAATATGAACAATATTATTGATTACTTATATATAACATTATTTTTATACAATAAATTTAACATTGTATATTTATACAAACTCTACTAACTATCTTATATTATTGCTCATGAAAAAATTATAGAAAAACGATCGAACATTATGGCAGTCATACATATGATTCCAATTTACTTTCTTTACAAAACATTGTATTGCTTCTCTGGTTACAAAAAATATCACCCTCCTCTTGAAACATTTTTTATTTCTTATTTAAACAAGCAGTTATGTGTAAGTGTAAAAATACGTATTTGTTGGAAGCATTTTTTTAATCTCTAAATGCTTTAATTAATTTTAAGATACCTATCATTATTTTATTTTATATTAACACACTTTTTTTGCTATTATGGTTTGTGATCAAAGTATTTCTGATAGGTTTCTTAAAAGATTTGAAATGAATCACAGATTTTAGCTAGTTTATCTATTTTTTAAAAATCCTAGTAAACATGATAAATTAAGGGAAAGAATTTTGCTATGATATGTTATTTATTGAGAATTTCTATGAATATAAAACTATTTTTAGCTTATACAATATTAAGATAAAGGAAAGGTTTTATAAGGATCATCCTGTCTAGTACAAAATTTTTCATGTAGCATTTCACGATAAGCGAGTACATGGGTTTATCATACCCTGGGTATATTATACCCCAGGTATTTTATAACCTGGGTATATTATACCCCAGGTATTTTATACCCTGGGTATATTATATCCCAGGTATTTTAAACTAGGTAGGTACGGGAAGGACCATATCATTTGCTTAAAAATAATTTGCAAATATTTGTTTAGTTTTTTAAAAGCCATAGCAGTTCTAATCCAATTATATTTTTTGTCCATTCTTGTTTATTAAAATACGCCAAATTTAAGAGAAAAAAATATTTATTCTCAATTTGTGTATGAGAAATACTTTGTGTTGCACACTTGGCGTGAAATCCTTCTTATTTTCTACAACTGTAGACATTTAAAATACAATAAAATTTTTATATAGATATTATTAAACTCGTATGTTATTACTTATCATGTTTACTTTTAAAACTAAGTAGAATAGAAAAAGGTTGAAGTTAAGATATAAGTTTAGTATTTATAAAATTTTATAGCAACTATTAGTGAGGGATAATATTGCAAAATTATTCTTTTTCTAAAATTGTTGCAATCACAGATTAAAGTATATATTAAGATACAATTTACAAAATTTAATATGTATAATTGAAAAACATAAAATCAACTAGCCGAATTGGTCAACATTTCCCTTAAACTTATCTTTAGTATACAAGTTTTTCCATTTAAAAGCAGACAGTAACAGTAAGAATATTTAACCCATAATTGCATCAAAATCTAAGATTTTTATGATATCAATTACTCACATACAAATTTAGTTATAAAAATATTCTTCCTTATTTAAACGAAACACTACTACCCCTAACACTTTGTTGATTTTATTATTTTCCAACTATTTACAAGTTACCACAACCCGATTTTACTCACAACATAATATTGCCTTTCGGACTAAAACAGTCTCATAATAATTATATAATATTTCCTAGATTACCGATTATTGATCATCTTTTAATCATGATCGAATATTTTTTCAGGAAAATCATGTTGAAAACAAAACAGATAATTATAAGACTACTTGATGATGAGCTTGCTGATGAGGAACTTGTTTGGATACATTTACCTGAAACAATAGAAAAAACATATTTAAATTGATAAATTTATAATATGTACTCATTTTGAATTATTTTTTGTAACTTTTAACTCTAAACGGCCTTAGAGATAACAGCTTTCAAGTCAACTAATTTGTTTAATAAACTTATAAATTATTGTTCATCTTACCAGTACTGGTAACATTGAAAACCAGTTCCCCAGTGACACCGGGCCGAACGATGCGGTCGCAGTTATCTGCTGATGTGCTGAATAAAAGCATATCAGGGCCTGATTCCTTGTAGATGAAGCAGTATCTTCTGGCGCCGTGAGAGGCTCTGCTTATCGGTGTCGTTATCAGGTAGTTCGTGCCGTTTTCAGACCATCGGCCATGACAAGAATATGCTGAAAAAGATAATATTATTTTATTTTATTTCTATATACAGGGTGTTATGTAATTAATGTTATATATTAAAATGGGTTGTTCCTTAGGGTCCATAAAGAAGCACCTAAAACTTTTTTTTCTAAATTCCAAAGTCTAAAAATAATTTATAATAACCTTTATCCTACCAAAAAGTACGCCACTGATCGACTAGGAACTTTAGGTTAATCTGGTGGATTTATTATGTTATGGTTGGTAACAACTGTTTCCAAAATCTTTCAAAAAAGTTGCCAAGCATTGTTTAAATTTAGCTTAATTACAAAAATGACAAAATTAACAATGCAAATTGTCAATTTATCGTTTTTATTAATTGTTGGTTATTTCATTTTTATACTGAAGGTAAATTCAAACAAAATTGCCAACTTTTATGACAGAATCTAGTGCATTTCTTTTAAATTTTAGGTTATGTTTTCAAATTGTAAATATCTTAACTAAGGGAAGTGCTTTTGGATTTATTTACACAAATTAAATGTTTAAAGTTTAACCTGTGAACTGGTCCCAATTTCATCTGAATAAACAGAGAAAAAAACTGATGAAAAAATTAATTTTGTGGTTATGGATTTAAAATTTCAAAGGTACTAAATTTTCTAATCATTGCTTAAGCTAATAGCTGGATCAGTAAATAAATACAGAAGGGTATTAGAGCTTTAAGGGCATAAAACTTTTGTTTTTATTGAGTTTTTATTAATTTTTTTCAAGAAAAATTTTTAGTAACAATTTTTTACATCTGGCAACGCATAGCTACTTTGTTGGTTGGTATCTATGTACTCACAAAATACAGGTGTGCAGAGATAAACAAGTGTGTAACCAGTGGCGTATCACAAAAAATATAAAAAACACAGAAGGGTATTAGAGCTTTAAGGGCATAAAACTTTTGTTTTTATTGAGTTTTTATTAATTTTTTGCAAGAAAAATTTTTAGTAACATTTTTTTACATCTGGCAACGCATAGCTACTTTGTTGGTTGGTATCTATGTACTCACAAAATACAGGTGTGCAGAGATAAACAAGTGTGTAACCAGTGGCGTATCACAAAAAATATAAAAAACTTCTAATGCATATTTTTTCTTTATCTATGGAAAAATGTTTTTTTAAATATTTTTCCTTTATTCCTTATGTCAAAAGGTATTCAGTATTTTAATATATAACATTAATTACATAACACCCTGTATAAAAACATTCTCATCAACGTTGCTTTGAGGAACTTAATTCTTAATATGGTGATAATAATAATAATAATGTTTATTGCCCAACAGAAAATAAAACTACTCAAGTAGGGCCATTAGGTAAAAAATTACAGCTTTACTCAATACTATGCTCAACATAAACATTAGTTATAAATTTTAAAGAATCATTATTCAGATCACAATAATTTGAGATTTTATTAAAAATATAACACATAGCTGAAACAGGCGATGATACACCAACATTAGTTCTTGCAAATAAATAAAAATACAAACTACTTCTAGCACTAGCTCTTGGAACGAACAGATTAAATTGTGACAGCAAGTCAGGGCAATCAAGCTTATTGTGAAATAGGAACAAAAATTTAAGGGATATAATATCTCGGCGTTGCTTTAACGAAGGTACATTAAACATTATCGCCGACGGTGGACTAGTGGTTAGTGCTGCTGACTACAAGCCGGAGGTCGTGGGTTCGAATCCCACCAGGGGTATGGCTGTTTATTTGTGTTTGTCCTATTGTGTAATAGTCCTTCGGAGGGGACTTTAAGCCCGCGGTCCGTTCCTACACCTAACCCGCTCAACCCATTCAGTTGGCTTCTGGGACTTCTTAGGAAGTAAGGGTAAAACTAAAAGAGCACTTTTGTATTATTAATAATGTTCTATTGTCAAAACCCCTTTCTGGATAAACTCCATTTACATTATGACATAAAAACTTTAAAAATTTTCGTTGGGTCCTTTTAATCAGATTTATATGTATGTTATAGTTTGGATTCCATATAAGTGCTCTATATTCCAGTTTGGATCGAACCAAAGTAAAATATAATGTTTTAAGACAATCCATATTTTTAAATGATTTACAATTTTTGATTAAAAAACCCAACATTTTTAAAGACGAATTATTTATTATTTATTTATTTATGTTATTTATATGGTCAGAAAATGTAAATTTATTATCAAATGTGATGCCCAAATCTTTTACATTGGTACAAGGCGATAGACTATTGTTATTTAGGGAATAATTGAAATCAATGGGACTAAATTTTAGAGTGTATGTACAAATTTTACATTTTGCGATGTTAAGATAAGGTTTATTTAAATTGCACCAATGTTCAATATGATTTAAAGTTTCCTGCTAAAGTACACAATCCTAAATTGAGTTAATTTGCAAAAACACTTTTAGATCATCGGCAAACAGTAAAGAAGGGACATTTAAATTAGACGGTAGGTCGTTAATAAATATCAAAACATAAGTGGACCCAGATTAGAGCCTTGAGGCACACCTGAAGTTGCTGAGAAGAAGTTAGATACAAAGCCATTATAAGAAACATAAAGTTGACGCTGATGAGTAAGACAAAGATAGTAAGGGTTCAGTTAATCCAAAGTTTTTTAGTTTGAGTATTAAAATGCTGTGGTCAATCTTGTCGAAGGCCTTCGAGAAATCTGTATATAGTATCCACCTGATTTTTTTATCAAAAGCATTGGCAACATATTGGGTAAATAATGACAAGTTTGTAAGTGTTGATTTTACCAATGGATAGATACTGTTGTAAATACACATTTCATTAGACTTGCCTGATTTAAATACAGGGGTAATTCTTGTAATTTTCCATCTAGATGGAAAACTACTGGATTTAATAATTATATTAAAAATCTTATGGTGTAACAAATACTTGAGCACAATCCTTAAGTAAAAATGCTGGAACCAGATCATCACCCGTCGTAAAATTGCTCTTTATTTTCTTGGTTTGACAAACCTCTAATTCAGGCAACATTGAGACCTGGATATTAAACAAGTTATTATTGGTATTATTAAAATTTATATTGGGATTGTGATTTTCATATACACTACCGAAGTAGTCGCTAAAACAGTTAACAATTTGTTGAGGTGTATTATAGGATATATTCTCATAAAACATATCTACCCATGCAACGAACACTATAGTAACTCAAAAAACGTGGATTTTGACTTACTATATGGCATCAACAGATTTTTTCAAGCTCTATTTGGTGGAAGATTACAGTAACTCAGATATGAAACGATAGGCAACCAGTGAACAACTTCCCTGTATAGTAAGTGTAATAATCCACATTCCTACCGGAAAAACTATATTAAGTTGAGTTACTCTAGTCTACAATCAAAACTGAGTTACAATAGTCTTCGTTGCATGGGTCGATATGTAAAACAATATTGTACCAGGAATACGCGCATTGCCTTTTTTCAGTTGAACGTAAGACCAAAATTGCTTGGGATCAGATTTTAGTTTTAGTTGAGTAGTATTAAGGTATTCACTATATTCTTGTTTAATTTTAAGTTGTACTGTACTTCTAAGTCTTTTGTATGTCAGGTTATAGTATCTTTTAAATAACCTATAAAAATGCTCTTTTCTTTTAATATTATTAATTAGGATATGTGAATTACAAAATGGATATTTAGATTTACCAACAGGTGTCTTAGGAACAAAAGCATTTAAAATTTCATACAACTTACCATAAAACAAATCTAAAACTGATGAAGCACCATCCCAAGAAATAAGATTTATTATTATATCTAACAATACTTACATGTGACAACATCCGGTGTATCGCACTCGGTTCTAAACTCCATGGTGTCAACGTTATTGCATCCGATGATGAGGCTGCTGAAGCCGCGACTACCGCACTCCGGATCGTCCGACAAACGCTTCGTCCTTATGTTATTCCCAGCATAATCCGGCAGCGACATTTTGTTCGAGTAGAATCGCGAGTCCGTTCCTTCGAAGTTCGAGTTGATTGAACGCTCGCTCCTTATGAGATTGCTCACTTCGAATTTGCCCATGTACGGGCATGCTCTTGTCTCGGGCGAAGTTGCTGAAAAAAGGAAACATATTTGATTAGCTTGACGTAGCGAAATTTGTCTCACCTGAAAAATTGCTGTAGATAAAAGTCACTGAGAGTTAAAATTTGAAAAAAAAATAACCTTTTAGGACTATATGAATCAATGGAAGCAGATGTACTTATGACTATAGCTAGTCTATAATGGTAGCAGATAAGAATTACTCATACTATGCATCATCAAACTCTGAAAATAGTTACCATTGCCATAAATAAGTTTTAAACGCGGACTCACTAATGTATTTAACGGCCAGAAGAAGGATATATGGTTTAATATGTGTGGAACGCATTTTGAATAGTTCATTTGGTTGGTATAAGCGTCTATTTAAAACCGGCGTTCGGCGTCTAATGGCTTCGGACCACCAAGAACTACTCATTAGAAAATAACTAACGACGTTTTGCGGGCAGATGTTAAAGATTAACGGTAATACTCGAAACTACTCGCTAATTACTTTTATTTACCTACTTTTAATGTATTATTACCCATGCAGAGTGAAAAATAAGTGTATTAAATTTAAATAAAGTGAGGTTAAAACTGTTTGGAATATGTTATATTTAATACAAACGAGTTAAATAATGCATGAGCGAAGCTTACAAAACAAGTTTTAATGAATGAGTGACCTTAAGAGGTTTATAACACGAATTGCACACCATACTTTATCTACGACGGAAATGTATCAATGTCTCGAGTTTTATAAACTCCCTTTTAGTTAAGAGTTTTACTAGGCACGAGCGAAGCTTGCGAGTGAGTGTTTGATAAAATGTATCTGTAAAAGTTAGAAACGATTTGCATACTATACTTTTTTACAACAAATATCATAATAAAAATAATGTATTACTAATTAATTTAAATATTTGACATATCTACAAAAACAGAGTAGCCAAATTGTTGTTGGGAAACTGTTTCACAGACTTTTAAAATGGCAGTATAATTTGTCAAATTTTTCTGAAAAATCGAAATTTTTACCTTAAAAATGGACGAACAACCGTTCAGATTTGATATAGAAGCGATTTTTTACAGTGAAAGTAAAGGGGCATACCCAATAAAAATACTATAGTTTACTCCGTCGAAATTAAAAAGTCAGAACAAAAGTGCATATAAAGTTTTCAAAGATTGGCGTCAAAAAATTAATTTATAATAACAACTATTATTTATTTTTGTATTGATATAATAAAATAATTTTCACATTTACGATTATTTCACAAGAGGGGCACTTTATTTTGACGATGGTATGACATTTAACAACTGTCAACTTACGTAAAGCTAAGTTCAGCCCGTGACTAAAAAGCCCGAAAGCCATTGCTGTAAACTTCAGCTCGTTACTAAAACGCCATAAAGTCACAGCTTTTCACTGTGGGAGTAGAAAATAGTATTAAGTTTATTAAACGCCATTTTAGACACGAATTTAGTTTAGGCACGAGCGAGTTTCTAGAAAAGTTTATTAACGAGTTGCGTGCTATACTTTTTTTACGACAAATACTTATTATACAAAAATAATTTAAATTAAATATTTGTATAGATCTATTAAACAATAGAAAACCAACTTGGGAAATTCAAATGTTAAATATTTATGTGTAAATTAAAATGTCTCCCTTAAGAATGGACCAAATGGATTCGATATAAATTTAGTTTTTCACATTGAAAGATCAGTACAATGTTCATATAAACTTTTCAAATATTGGCGTTAAAAAACTATTTAATACTTTTGTATTTTTTTATTAAGATAATAAAACAATTTTTACATTTAGTATTATTTTACAAGGCACTTTATTTTAAGATTTTATGACATTTGACAACTGTCAACTATCTTAAAACTAACTTCAGCCCGTGACTAAAATGCCATTAAGCCACAACTTGTGGAAGTAGAAATAGCTTTTATTTTAAATAAATATTGTATACCTAACTAAGAGCCTTACATATTTAACTGAAAATTGATTTTTTCATTTACCGCTGACATTTTTAACAAACAAAATAATAACAAATTTTTGACAGTTTAGTAATTAAAAACACAAAAGAAACGGGGAAAGAGGGCAAATGCAACGAAATTAAATTTCTAGAATACTTAAAATATAATAAGTGCAAGTTTAAAGTTTTAATTAAATTAAATAGTAGTCAAGCTCGAAAAATAATTCGCTTTAAAAGTTTACAACTATTTTAAAACAAAATGTGGCAAATTTATATAAGGAATTCAACGCCACTAGCAGGTAAATTGCACTTCAGAAGGAAATATATTAGCCTTCCGTATCTTCGATCTGGAAAAGGGAACAAAAATACATTAAGATAATGATAATTTATTTTTAATTTAAAATTTAACTAGGTAATGCAAATTTTACGTGGGGATCCCTCAATAAAATTACCAAGGTGGTGGGTTCTAAAACGTAATGTTCTTTAAAAATTAGTACAATTTAAAAATATAAAAGTAAAAAAACTTGTTCATGGAAACATCGATTTTAATATGTTATGAACATTTTGATTTGGTGATTATGTATGTAGACGCGGGCTTGAAATTACTTTTTGCTATTTTGCAAAAAACGTCTGAAAATACTTTTGTACTTCAAAATGTTGTTGTCAAGGTCGAAAAAAAAACTCCCTGTAAGCAGAGTACTAAAAAAAGTATTCGTAAAATTTTAAGTATGAGTACTTAAAATATTTACTCGTAAGTACATTTGTAAAGAGAGGTTACGGTTACGAGTATTAATCGTGAAAACACGAGTAAAGAGTATGAGTACTTTTGTACATTATACATATGGTACTGAGCTATAAAAAACAAATTTATAAAATTATGTATTTATAAAATAATAAATAAAAATAACAATTCTTAAATAGTTTATAATTTTACCTATATAGGTAGGTACTTGTTATAAAACCAATAGGCTATAATATATTATATTATACTATATATTATATAATTTAAAACATACTTCCAAACAAAATGATTTGATGCTTACGATATTTTGGCAAAAAGTCATTGATATAATAAACGGAAATACTCGTATATATTACTCGTGAATTCCACGAGTATTTTTTAAGTATTTCAAATGAAAAATACTTATGAGTAAAAAAGTACTCGTATTTTTTTACTCGTAATTGAAATACGAGTAAAAGTACTCAGTACTTGGCCACATCTGCCTGTAAGTTTAAGCTCCTAGTCTTAAAAGATTTCTCATCTAAAATACACGTAGTATTTGGCAAATTTCTATATACGCATTTTATGCAACAGTTTTATCCAAAATGCATTTTACTAAGAATTAAACCATCTATATTGCAGCTTAACTGTAAATCACACTAGTGAGTGTGGGCCACTAAATTTAATGTTTGTATAAAATTCTTGTTTCTTTGGTGTTTTTTTATAAATGGCTGGATTTTCTACAAAAAAACCATTTGAACTAATCTGTAAGATTAATATTTCTCGAGATATTTAGCTAAGACTTATTTGTGAAACTCTTATTTAACTTGATAATCCATAAAAATGTTATATCATAAATAAATTAAAGCTCAATATCTCAATAAAATAATAATCTTAGAAATGAAATTCGGTGCGATGGACTTTTTTTGTAGAAAATTTAATTTAGTTTTTAAAATAACAACAAAGAAACCAGAATTGTATGCACCTAAAGGGCTGAAATTTTGACAGTGTATTCCTATAATGACATGGATACCCCTAAGAAGGAATTTGTGAAATTCCATCCCTAAGTTACCCCCTTGGGACACTAAAAAATTTAGCTATAATTATAATTAATCCCGGCGCATTCGCCATTTTTTAAGAATTTTGATGAAATTTTCTATGAAGGTGTTCTTAGTTATTTGAACGGGTCAGGAATAGAATGGAACCAACAAAAAATTATTCGTTTTTATGCACATAGATGACTTCTTATTTTTACTCAGACCACGCAAGCGCAAGTGTCTTTTACGCAACATCGAAGCAACGTATCGACTAGATTTTTTGCTTGGAGATTGTTTAAGCACCGAAGAGATGAAAAATGGGTTGGAGATAGTTTATGGGTCGGATGATGCACACAACCACATCTATGAAATGTTTTTCAAACGAACAAAGACATAGTCTAAATACCAGAAATTAGCAGTTTAACTAAAACCTAATTAATAGCGCCACGGTCAGTTGACAAAATTGGAATTTTAAAGGAAAAATGTTATCAAATTTATAAACACGATTTTTCAACGCGGCCCTAATAATTGATTGTGTACCATTTTGTCGCCAGAATATTATGGCTGCATTATTCAATGGACAATCAGTCGTCTGGTCGTTCAATTTTCCTTAACTTGTCGCACAATATACACTTTAAAAAAATGTTCAATATTTTTTTCCTCTCACACCTTTAAAACGCCCATTATCGTATATGTTTTCATGACAATAAGTGTTAATACACATTGACAGGCTGTGGCTTTATGGCGCTTTAGTCACGGGCTGAAGTTAGTTAACAGTTGCAAAATGTCATACAATCGTTAAAATAAAGTGCCTTTTTTCTAAAATAATCCCAAATGTGAAATAGTTATTTATGTCATTAGGTTAAGAAGCACTTCTTGGCCGAATGGCATACAACATTTTATCTTCAAAGCACTTTATATAGGTCAATTTAATTCAACATCAAAGCGGCCTAACCTCACTTTTTTAAAATCTCATTTATTTATTAGCTAAAGATTACATTAAATGTACAATAATTATTATTGCTTTTAGACAATACCTAGCTACATGATTTAAGTAGAAATGGATTTTTGCTATAACATTGAATTCAATTAATTGTTTAATAAATAGGTAGGTATCTAATTTCAATTTGTTTGGATTTTTATTTAAAAAATAGGTAGTTTGGAATGTTTAAGCTGTGTTTAACAATTAATTTCACTGAAAACTTAAAACAAATTAAAACTTAAAGATAATAAATCGTAGAAAAAGAATTGTGCGTTTTCTTGGTTGCCTAACCGCACTTTTGTTTTATTATTCATATTTAGTTTTACAATA